ATATGAAGAAGAATCGGTTTATTTTAAGAGTAAGTTTACCTAGACTTATTCTGTTCAATAACTCATGTTGTATATAAAATTTCAATAATATAACTGTTGAATTTAAAGTTTTTAATCTAGATATCAAGTTTGCAAATTTTTAAAAAATTTAAAAATTATTTGATAATTCATTTTATTAATTTAAATTAATGGATAATCATAAAATTAATTTATACATTGATTTGAATTAACAAAATGAAGTATTAAATGATTTTTAAATTTTCTAAAAATTTGCAAATTTAATCTATATATTAAGTACTTTAAATTTAACGATTAGATCATTAAAATTTAATGTAAAACATGAGTTATTAAATAAAATAAATTTAAGTAAACTTATTCCTGAAATAAACACATCCTTCCTATATATACTATAATATAATGAAGTATTTTTCGGGAACCTATCATTTTTCAAGGGGAGGGTAGACATAAATTATTCTATCTCATATGTATATATCATTACTCTTTATTTTATAAATACTTTTAAGAAATGTTCTAAAAAAATATAAAGTAATATAAGTATAAACATATTTAGATACAAGTGTAGAAATTCTTTCAAGATCAAAAAATATTCTAAAAAAAATATTTTTAGTTTATATTTAAACACACTCTATACAACTTACCAGCTGTTGCAGAACTATAAGTTGTATAACCATCTTGAACACTTCTACCACTGGTGATAATCGTATTTCTCAATCCATCACCAACCAACATGATGTTATCATTGTGCACAGCAACCTCAATATTCTCTCTATACACCCCTTTCTTCACGTGTATCACAAACCTCCCCTTCACTTTCCTCTTTGCCGCAGCATCGAGAGCTTCTTGCACAGTCCTGAAATCCCCCGAACCATCTTTTGCCACCACAGCATGTGCCTTTATCGATGAAGACTGCAACAGTTTCCTCTCACGCGTTGAAAACCAACCAGGAAACTCCTCTTCCGTTTTCTCTTCCGTGTGATGACGTTTCATGAAGTCCATGTTGATGGCCAAACAGTTCCTTATCATCTCAGTAACGTTGTTGGTCACACTAGGAGCCTTGAAATCTCGAACACCGAGTTCATCGGTTCCTGTTTGACACGTTTGAATGTTTGTGAGAGCAGTGCTGAGCCAAGTTTGTGCATCATCCGGTGAACAGTTTTGCTTCACGTGATGCAAGCATTCGAGGGTGCGGTTGAGGTGGAAGATGGTTTTCTCATAGAGCTTCAAGCAATCACCATGCACGGTTCTGTGGTTCTTTGTTGCCATGTGGTTGTTTTGGTATGATTCACGTGCTTCTTTTTGCATGGTGATGGATTGGTTTAGGGAGACTTGAAGGAGCATGCCCCGGAAGTTAGTTTTGTGTTTGATTGGGAAATGGTGGCTCTTCATGTGAGTTGTGATGTAGTGTTTGCATGGCACAGGGTGTGGGGTTAGGTTGCACCACCAATCTATGTTGCTGGATGAAGCTGGTCCTCTTCTTGATGAGGCTATTGAGAAAATGGAAGATAATAATATGAGAGTGAGGAACGTTTTCACAAGGGTTTCCATTTCTAGAGGAGAATAAGAATAGTTAAGAAGAGTGAAGAAACAATGGGAATTGTAAGTTGCACTTGCACCACAAATGATATTTGATGTTTTTGGTTTGTAATTGTTTTGGGGGATGAGAGATTATAATAACATACATATATATATGTTTGTTGGGTGGATGTGGAGTGTGGACGGGGTAAACGTGTGGGTTGAATTGAAAATGATGATAAAGAATGACACAGATACAAACTGTGAATGCAATTGCAAGAAAGGATGAAAGGAATAAAACCTTATCTGGTAGAAAAATTAATATGATTTTTTATTTGCATGAATTAGTATAATTAAGGGCTTGCTTAGTATCTCATAGAGGATGCAAGTCTAATTGTGATCACAAGAAAAATAAATGTCTTATTGTTAAATATATTGACAGAACGACATCCCTCTGAGGAATGATTACTTATTTATTAATTAATGTACTCACGACAGCTATAACAATTGAAACACACAATTAAACTATGATGTAGAGGATAATATGGTTGAGTTGGTCTGAAGTTGTATGCTATATATCCATATGCATGTACTATGCGGCGAAAGAAAAAATTGTATATATTATCCTTTCTTCAGTGGACTTCTTCAAGAATAGGGAAAGAGTAGTTTCTTTGAATGTAGTAATGGTTTTCACTAGGTGGGTATGTACTCGTATGCGTTATGTTGAAGAATATATGTCCGAAATTTTAGGGTGACCCATGTGCTGTTGTTTTGTTTGAGGTATAAGCAAAATTAAGTAGAAAATATATGAGAAATTCACAAAACATTTTGTATTTCAATGATATTGATAGCATATATCACTACAACATAAACATAAAGAGGTTTGAGTAACATTAGAAAAATGTTACTTAATTATGTATAAATGTTACTAATTTACTTTAACAACATATTATTAAATGTTGTGTATAGTCTATGTTGTTAAAGACTTTTAATAACATTTTTAAACAATTAAGCAACATTTTTCAAGTGTTATCAAAGTAGTATTTTTGTAACATTTTAATAATATTGCTAAGTTTTTGTTAGCTTTATACAATGATAATTAATTTTAATTTATATATTATTATCAATTATTATATTTTTATGCTTCCTAAACTCCTAGAAATTCTTTAAGAGAAAATTGAAGAAATTCTTTAATCATCACTAATTATATATCAAATATTAAAGTTCATTTATCTTAAGTATAATTATATGATTATATATACTCTTTATGAGTCATTCATTTATTTGATGTGAGACTTTAATTATGGATAACAAATAGAGATAAAAAAATATTTTTTTATTTGATGTGGGACTTTGATTTTAGAAGCAATTATAGTAATATTTTTCCAAAAAATATTACAAAATAACCTATGTAACATTTTTTTACTCGATATGAAACTTTGATTTTGAAAATAATTAAAAAAATAATATTAAAATAAAAAATATTACTCTATCTATAATGACATTTTAAAAAAAAAATGTTGCAAAATAACTTATTTATTCAATATATAATAACATTTTAACAAATGTAAAAAAGAAAATGTTGCTAAAGAATTAAAATGTAGTAGTATATAACTCTTTTTTTAGAGATTTTGGAGCAAAAGGAATTGGTCTTTGAAGTCTCTCTCTCCCTCTTTCCTTTTAGAGACACGTAGTAGGTTTTGAATATCCATTTCCCTGAATTTCGGGGAATAAGCCATCTTTATCAATCGGCTTCTAAATCCTTGGCTTGAAATGGTTTGAACAAATTAAAGGAAGAAAATAAAAAAAAAAATCATATTTGATCTCTAGAGTTTTTTCTCCCACAAAATGAGCATGTCCTTTCTTATATAACATTCTCTCAGAATCTGGGCAGAGTTAACAAAAAAAATCCTTCTGACTACTAAGTGTTATTGTTAGTTTATAAATTATCAAATAGTAAAAACTTCTTTGATTGGTAAAAAGAATGGGGATGCAAATTTATATTGATAGACTTAGTTGAAAGGAAAACTAGCTCAAAGGAATAGTTAGAATAAATTTGAGTAGAAATGACTTATTAGTTGTTTGGTTACAAATATTGGATACATTGTTAAGTCAGACGAAGAAACTCCTAGTAAGGTTTTAAATGAGACAAATATAATGCATATTGTTATCTCTAACAAATGTGTTAGTGTTTACAATAAAGAAATAAGCACAGAAAAGTTGAAGAATAGAGAATATGCATGTACCACCCTCTACACCAGAACTAAGACAAAATAAGCTAAGCACCGGATGAAGGTGATGAATGTTGAACAAAAGAAGGAAATACACCAGAAAAATCTATCCACAAGCTATAAGACATTAGATGAAGAGATCAAACGAAAACAAGCTCAACATAAGAAGGAAATTAGTGAAGCATTAGATGATACAAAACCAAAGACGATGGAAAAAACTAAATCAAGCATCCTAGACGGAGTCAAGAGCTTGCATAGCTGACCAGACGAAGATTCAAACGAAAACTAAGAATGCTAGACTGCGCCTGAAGTCACAACGAGAAGAATTACCTAGCATCCACACTCTCAGAACAACACATGGAGTCATCAAAATAAAATAAAAGAGAAAAGAAAAATGGACGAGTGCTTATCCACAAGTCAAAGCTGCATGTGTCAGAACGAGTACACCTACTAGTCAGAAAAAGACAACGCCTCTGCAGTTACAAAGCCAGAAAAGTACAAAGATGTCCAGGTCATGATTGATGCCAGACATAAAAGTAAACAAATGGTACAAAAGACTTCGTGAAACGCAGACTCGGCAAACAAACATTTAATGCAAGATCAAATGCATTAAATGCAAGATCTACGAAGCCTGGACAAACTAAACAAGAGAATCAAATGATGACTACTCAATCATCAAGATTAAGTCTGATCATAGACGGAAGAACATTTAACAAACACTAGATGAGGCCTACTACAAGTCGAGACATTGAAACATTAGACAAAAGCCAAAACAAGGCTAAACCTAAAAAAATAAAGAGATGGATTAAACATCAGATAAAACCAGATTGTAATTTCTAATAAAGGAACAGTCAAGGCAAGGCACATCATAAGAACCAGACAAATCAAATTGAAAGAGACAAAGTACAATATGTGCACCAGACGACTATGAGTTCAATATCAAATGAAGGTGTGTCAAGGACAACTTCTAGTGCAACATATGGAATTAGAAAAAGCATGAGACAAAGAACAAAAGGAAGTCAAACAAAGGACAACATAGGTTGAAAGACACGTCAGACAAAGAATAGAGTCTGTCTACCTATAATTTTGACCAGATTATGAGAAAATTCAAAACACTAAACTCAGATGCTTAGACTAAGGACAAGATTGAAATGCATAGGACCAACAGACGTAGACAAAAGACTGCCACGCAAACAATTAAAGAATCGAGTCTTAAAAGACAAATCAAGGCAACGTCTACAATCACTCAAATGCTCTCAACGTAAAATGCGTGATTAAAGAGAAGAGAAGAAGAAGAAGAAAAGCACGCAAATGCAAAAGCAAAAGCAAAAGCATGCATGTGTTAGAAAAAGTACATCACTTTTTCAAATAAGGACAACACTCAAAAGCTATATGACTAGATAAGGACAAAACGGTTCCTAGGTCTCTGCTAAACTCAGACAGAGTTGCTAACAAGGCAAAGAAGACTACACACAATGTCTATCACAGGAAGCAACATTTAATGCAAGAACTCAAGCATTAAATGAGAGATCAAACTAGTCATGAACGACTATATCTGCTTTAACAGATACTTGCAATGGGCAGATTCTACAAGACACTATATATATCACTATCTCAAACCTTGAAAGGTTGACTTTCATTTTTGTAATCTTAACAAAGTGATATCAAGCCCACAAAAAACAATGAAACCAAAGATAAAGCGTATAGAGTCAAATGTACCATAAGGTATTCATCTCTATAAACTAAGGAGTTCCAAACATGTGCATCCTAGGAACAAAACCTTAGTGAGTGTACCAATTTATGTATCTTCTCTGTGAGAGTAGACAAAACACTCAGTCTTTGTAAAGACTAAGGCTGCATACCTTAGTGAGTGTAGAAACCTATGTATCCTCTCTATGAGATTAGCCCAAACACTCAAACCAAATCTGTCCAGTTGATATTTGCAAAGCCTGAAGAGGCTAGAGAAAGAATACTTGTAAAGCATGGAAAGGCTTGTAAAAGAATACTCATTGAGAGCCAAAAGTGGCTGAGTAAAGAATACTAACGTTGATGAGTAAAGTTAACGGGCCAGGAGTTGGTCGAGAATACTCACTAGGAGCTAGAAGTGGCTGAGTAAAGAATACTAGCATTGATGAGTGAAGTCAACGGGCCAGGAGTTGGTCAAGAATACTCATTGGGAGCCAGAAGTGGTTGATCAAAGAATACTAGCGCTAGTGAGTGAAGCTAGCGGGCCAAGAGTTGGTCGATAATACTCATTGAGAGCCAGAAGTGGTTGAGCAAAGAATACTAGCGTTTGTGAGTGAAGCTGACGAGCCAAAAGTGGTTGAGAATACTTGGGACCAGGAGTGGTCGTGACCTAGGTGATCTGTAATACTCACTGCGAGCCTGAAGAGACTGAATAAACAATACTTGTATTTTATTGATTATCTAGTGGAACCCTTCATTTGAAAGAGACTAGGCGTAGCTTAGTTTGAGTGAACCAGTATAAAAATACTTGCAAGAACCTTATGTTTTAGATGCACTTTATTTGGTTAATCTAATCCATTGAAAACTTCATCCAATGATTATCGTCTATTAAAACCATCTTCAGAAGAAAACCATACTTGTTTAACTTGTCACCCTAAAGAACAATTTTCTTTTAAAGAAGCATTTTATCTAAACAGACGGTGAAACTCCCAGACTGAAAATGATTTGTTAAACCAACACTGGGTAGTTTCTGTTCAGCATTTACTAATATTATTTCACTAGATGAAAGAGAGCCTTATTGCAAAAATATTTTAAATTTCCTTTAGTCACATTCACACACATATTCAACCTCCCTTCTATGTGTTTTTCATTAAACTTCATACATGGCCTATTTATAGGCCTCAACACCACCATTCATGTTTTATATAGAGGATTCTAGAGATATCTATCCTAGAGTTTTCTATCTATTGTAATTGTCTACATAATTCTAGAATTTGTATCATCTAGTAGTTACTAGCATACACCTATGTATTTTTTCATAATAATCTAGCTTATTCTAGAAGTTTGTATCACATTTTAAAACTCTCCTTGATACAAATTTCTCTAACTCCTACCATAGAGCGAAATTGTTCGAATATATCTTACTCTCGGTACTGCCTTTGTGAATATGTCAACAACTTGTTCTTCGATCTTGCAATACTCCATCTTGATTTCTTTAATTGTTTGTACTTCTCTGATGAAGTGATATGTAATTGCAATGTGTTTTGTTCTACTGTGATGTACTGGATTTTTTGTCATTACTATTGCTGATTTATTGTTGTAGTAGATTGTAGTAGGCCCATCTTGTTGTTCACCCATTTCTGCAAGTATTCTTCATAGCCAAATTGCTTGACTTGTAGCTTTAGCTGCTGCAACATATTATGCCTCTACGATTGATTGTGCAACTATTGCTTGCTTTTTTGATGCCCAAGAAAATATTCCTGATCTGAGTGAGAAGGCATAACTAGAGGTGCTCTTCATGTCATCTATTGAACTTGCCTAATCACTATTGGTGTATCTGAGCGAACTTGAGTTGGTCATGGTTTTGTACCATATACCAAACTCCTTTGTGTCTTGTAGATATCTTATAATTCTTTTAGGTGCTCTAAAGTGAATTTGGCTTGGGCTTTGTATAAACCTTGATAAAAGAATTACAGCATACATTATGTCCGATCGTGTGGCTGTTAAATATAGTAAGCTTCCAATCAGACTTTTGCAGCGAGATGCATCAGCATCTGGTGCTCCATCATCTTTTTGTAGCTTCTCCTTTGTCACAAGCGAAGTAGTGACAGTCTTGCAACCACTCATCTTGAACTTCTTCAAGAGAGCTTCAATATATTTCTTTTGTCAAATGAATATCCCTTTCTTCTTTTGACTTACCTCAATACCAAGGAAGTAGTTCATCAAGCCAAGGTCCATCATTTCAAATGTCTTCATCATGTCTTCTTTGAATTATGTCATCATCTTAATATTGTTCCCTATGTAGATAAGATCATCTACATACAAGGAGACGATGAGAGTGTCATACTAACCTTGGGTCTTGATGTATAGTGTTGGCTCACTCTTACTCCTCTTGAATCCATGATTGGTGAAGTATTGATCTATTCTACTATACCATGCCCGAGGAGCTTGCTTCAAACCATATAAAGCTTTTCTAAGCCTTAGTACTTTGTCTTCATTTCCCTTGCTTATGAAACCTTGTGGTTGCTTTACATAGATCTCTTATTATGGTACTCCATTGAGAAAAGCGGACTTGACATCTAACTCGTAGATATTCTAACCTTTTTGTGCTGCAAGAGATATTAGAGCTCTAACTATATCTAGGCGTGCTACTGGGGCAAATGTCATGTTGTAATCGACTCTAGGTTGTTATGAATAGCCCTTAGCTACCAACCTTTCCTTGTGCTTTTATATGGTGCCGTCCGGATTGAGCTTTGTCTTATAAACCCATTTTACCCTAATGATATCTTTGTCTTTTGGATAGTCTCCTAGATCCCATGTATTATTTTTCTCAATCATTTTTATCTCTTCTTCCATAGCCTTGACCCACACTTGTTGTTTTGATGTTGTTTCAAAGCTTTTAGGTTCAAGTATGGCCAAGTTGCATGTTTCATATATATTCACCAAGGATCTAACTCATCTTGGAGTAGACTCTGGTGATGGAGTTTGTTGTTGTGGAGGAGAATGAGGCTCACCTGGGACTTCTGCAGTTTCTTCTTCTAGTTGTTGCATTGAGATATAAATGTTTTTCTCTAATTTCTCGTCATTCCAATTCCAAGCCGCATTTTCATTAATTTCAACGTCTCGACTAATAGTCAGCTTCTTGGTTTGCAAGTTATAGACTTGGTAGCCTTTTGACTATGTGTTATACACAAGGAAGATACCTCGTACTGTCTTGTCTTCTAGTTTATGCCTTTTCTCTTCTGGAATGTGTATGTTGCAAATAGATCCAAATACCCTTTGGTGCTTTGCTAATGGTTTTTTCCTGTTCCAGGCTTCAATCAGAGTCTTATCTTGGACTACCTTATTTGGGCATCTATTAAGTATGTAGATAGCCGTATAAACTACTTCAGCCTAAAAAGTGTTTGGTAATCCTTTCTCCTTGATCATCGATCTAGCCATCTCCATTATTGTGCAATTTTTCCTTTCAGACACTCCATCTTGTTGTGGAGAATATGCAACTGTAAGTTGTCGCTCAATGCCTTCATCTTCGCAGAATTTATCAAACTCACGGGAAGTGTATTCTTTGCCACAGTCACTTCTAAGTACTTTTATTTGTTTGTCACTTTGCTTTTCGACAAGGGTCTTAAACTTCTTAAAAATACCAAAGACTTCTGATTTTACTTTTATGAAGTAGACCTAAGTCATTCTAGAAAAATCATCTATGAAGAGAATGAAATACCTGTTGTTATGGAGTGATGACGTCCACATTGGTCCAAGTATATCTGTATGGATCAACTCTAACAAGTCCTTTACTCTCCATGCTTTGCCTGTTGAAAACGATAGTCAGTGTTGCTTGCCAAGGAGACATCCTTCACAAGCTTCACTATTCTCCTTTAAGCATGGGAGATCTCTCATCATATTTTTTTTTGATATAATAACTTTAAGGCATGTATATTAAAGTGGCCAAATCTTCGATGCCAAAGCCATGAGTCATCTACTTTTGCTTTCATTGCAATGTTAGGGCCTTGTCTTAGGCTTATAGGGAAACTTCTATTCCTCTTCTCCATTTTTACTCAGCTAATCTCTAACTTTTTGTTGTCATATATTTTACATGTGTCTCCTTCGAAGTGGAGAGTATAACCTTTCTCCATCATTTGGCCAATGCTTAAGAGATTTTCTTTGAGATTGAGAACTAGTAGAACATCAATAATAAGTCTCGTACCTTTCTTCGTCTCCACCACAACTATGCCTTTGCCTTTTGATTCAATGAAAGTGTTGTTCCCCATTCGGACTTTCACTTTGACAGATTCGTCAATATCATTGAAGATGCTTGCATCTTTGGCCATATGATTGTTGCAGCCGCTATCCAATTACCAACTTCCACTTGTTTCACTATTGGAATCTTGGGTAGCATAGAAAAAATGTTGCTCACCATCTTTCTCTTAAGCAAAGTTTACTTAATGCTTATTTTTGTTGCGATAATACTTCTCCATATGTCTAACTTTGTTGCAGTGGCGACATTGTGGCTTTCCACGATATCGACAATCTTTTTTGGCATGATTTGTCCTCTTGCAAATGCCACATGGAGGATATTCATTCTAATAATTTTAGAATTGTCTTTATTTCTATAAGTTTCTCCATTATTCCTTTTTTTTTCTCTTTATTTTGAGACCGTAATTTGAGCTTTGATTGAAATGCATTTTTAGTTGAGTCCTCATCATGCCTATTCAACCTTTGCTCATAAGTTTTAAGTGACCCCATCAAATCTGTTACTGATAAAGTAGATAGATCTTTTGTTTGCTCAATCGTTGTCACGATTGGATCATATTTACGGGGAATACTAATTAGAATATTGTCCACAATTTTCTTGTCAAGAATATTTTCCTCCTACACTCTCATTTGGTTAACTATTTCTTGTATCTTAGAATAGTAGTCCTTTACGATCTCAGATTCCTTCATATTTAACAATTCAAAATTACGCCGTAGAGTTTGTAATTTTATAGCACGTACTTTTTCACTTCCTTCGAACTCCTTCTATAGCGTAGTTCATGCTTCTTTGGCTGTTGCTGCACCCATTATTCTTGAAAAAATTGTGTCAATCACAACTTGTTGCAAAATAAATAGTGCCTTTGAATTCTTTTGTTTGCTATCTTTCAACTCTTTTTTTTAACCGTAGTAAGGGATGAAATGTCTTATGGAGCAAAAAATTCTTCTTCTATCATGTCTCATTAATCTTGGAAGGTAAAATATGTCTTCATTTTTGTACTCCAAAAATCATAAATTTCACCATTAAAAATGGGAATAAGGATAGATGATGGTTGAATGGTGTTAGCCATGGATTAGAATTTTTTTTAAAGTGGGTAGAATATTGGGAATTTTTTTTGTGGAAATAGTGGGGTAATATTTCTACACCCAGTAGATGACCGAACGTAGCTCTGGTACCACTGTTAGTTTATGAATTATCAAATAATAAAAACTTCTTTGATTGGTAGAAAGAATGGGGAGGTAAATTTATATTGATAGGCTTAGTTGAAAGGAAAACTAGTTTAGAGAAATAATTGGAATAGATTTGAGTAAAAATGATTTACTAGTTGCTTGGTTACAAATGTTGGATACATGACCTATTTATAAGCCTCAACACCACCATTCATGTTTTATATAGTGAATTTTAGAGATATTTATTCTAGAGTTTTTTTTATCTATATGTAATTGTCTACATAAGTCTAGAATTTGTATGATCTAATAGTTACTAGCATACACCTATGGTTTTTTCTATAATAATCTAGCTTATTTTAAAATTTTGTATCACATTTTAACAATTATATATGAGGTATAAATTAATTCAATTTTGAAAATTCTGGATGTGATTCCTCTATTTTCAAACTCAATCAATAATGATCAACGTTACTGTGAAGGCAAATAAGAAGAAAGGGAAAATTCATCTAAAGCTCCTTTACCATCATTTAGATCAGGCTAATTATGGAAAAACTAGTCTATTGAAAGATTTCATGACATGAGAATCATAATTAATAGTTAATACAACTTAGTTTATATATCTCATAGCAATTGCCAAAGTGACACGTTAACAAAGTTAAATATATATGGTCGTCATAAAAAACCACACAATATGATATATATTGAGACATTAGCAACTGCTAAAGTGAGGCGTTAACAAAGTTCAATATCTGTAGTCATCATCAAAGATCATGTAATTTCCATTTCTCCTTGCTCTGGCTTGTCTGTCATTCTGCACATCAAAGCCAATTATGTTTTCATAACTAAAATATTGTTCCAAACACAGACCAAGTGAAACTTGTTGGGAAAGGGGCTATCACCCTATAAATTTACTACAGGAGAATGACTTAGCTAAAAGTCTAAAACACATGCATTTTCAATTTCAACTTGTAATTGAAATTTCAGCTTGTAATTTCTGGTTGACCAGCTTCAATGATTCATAAACAGAGAAAATATGGAACTAGAAAAAAAAGGATAAATTTCTAAAATATATACCAAGCTAGAGCCAAATCTCCCCCCGGTTTGAATGCAATAATCCATAGGACAGTTATCTCCCAAGCTGGTTTGCCTTTAAGAGTTAAAATGGTCCAAAATTCTGATTTTGGTTCAAAATTAAATGTTTTATATTTAGAAGGGAACTATTATAGTGGGTACCGTAAAATTTTCCTATTCACATAAACTTTTCGAATAACCATTTATATATATAAAAAAAAGAATAAAAATGAAAAAACCTTCTCTATAAACTAAAATTAGTTTATATATAAATTAAAAAGTAAGTTTTTAAAGAAGTTAATATGAGAGAACGTTTACAAATTAACTTATATATATACTAATTTTAGTTTATAAAAAAAATTATTTCATTTTTTTATATTTTTTTTTCATTCATAGAAATGCTTAGGAAGTAGTTTATCGAACAGATCCTATGTACATATGTAATTCCCTAATAATATAAGCAAGTTGAATCATAGCAACTCCCAAAGTCATACTTCCTCAACTTTAGAAAGATCTTAGCTTTGGAGTAGAGCCAATTATTTTCCACTGAAAGCATTGGCTAATATATGTACCTTGCTTATAAGTCTTTCAAAGGCTTCTGTACCATGTTCTTCCATGTACCTCTCAGCAGCACTTAGAACATCATCTTGCTCTCTAAATATGGACTTCTTTTGTGGAAAATACCATATTTGAGAGCCTTGTGGCATTGGGATTTGTGGGTTCATATAGAATGGCCTAATGTAATTCCTATAAACAACCGCAGCTCCATTGAAGTGAGGCAGAACCAACCAGCAACTGAATATCAACTTGGCAAAAGGCCAAATGGGAAGCCTGAAATTAATTAGCACCATAATAATTATATTGAAGAAACACTGAAACAGCAGTGCAAGCTGCTCAAAAATCTGTTTTTGGCTAAGCAATGAAAACAAAGGGGAAAACCTTGCAAATAATCAAATCACAAAAAAAACAAAGAAAATTTGACAACAACCTCATTTTATAAGCAACCCCAACATCCTATGAATTTGACCAGAAAAGGGATAATTAAATTGTGAAGCATATATAAAATAGGTGATAAGACAATGTAAGCTTTATTTCTAGACCTTAGACTCTAAACCTGAACAGAGAACACATTCAAAGTTGAATAACTTAAAACTGACACAGTCATCTACTTATAATTATCATATATCAAGTTTATTAATTTTTATAATAACTACTAGTAACATATATTTTTATTGGTTGAGAACGTGAATGTTTTTAAAACTAGACAAAAATTAAACAATACAAATTAATAATGAGTAGAGATCTTTTTATTTGAAGAATAAGTATATTTAGACTTACCTCACTCAATAACTTGTATTCCACATCCAACTTTAACGATCTATCTAATAAATTAAATGTTTTTAATACATAGATAAGCCTCCAAAATTTTAAAAAATTATTAAAAGTTATTTAATACTTTGATTCACTAATTCAAATTGATGAATAATTGTAAAATTATTTTATACGTTAATTTGGATAAATAAAATAGAGTATTAAATATTTTTAAATTTTAAAATTTTTTTATAAACTTTATATATTAAATTTTTTAATTTAACCGTTAAAATTTGATGTAAAACATAAATTATCGAAAAAAATGTATAAATTGAAGTAAGTGAATCACTCCTCGTTAATAATCATATGTCATAATTTATATATTCACTAATGGTTATTAGCTGAGAAGCTTACAGTTCAAGAACTTTGGCAAACGTGAGCTCAAAGAGTGTGAGAATGGAATACAGAATCCAATACGTGAGCCATTGTTGATCATCACTAGTAGACTTAGTCTCTATGGCCTTAATTGAAGCATATCTAACCAAAACACAAAAGGGTATGCAGAAAAGCTCAAAATGCAGGCATACATTTCCCGAATGAAATTAATACAACAAAAGAAGAAACATACTTACAAAGGGTAAACGAGCGTAACTAAGGGCCTGGAGAAAATGCCAGTTAGAGAATGAATTTAGTTATAAAACTCAGATCAAAATGTAAACCGAACAAATAGTTAAAAAAAAAAAATAATGTTGTATTTGCTGCAATGGCATCAAAGCTTGACTATGGAAAAAAAATAAACAAAAAAGAGACATACAGGGCAAGAACATCGAAGTTATTGAAGATAACTTGGAGAAAGTTGTTGTTGTTGTCGGAAGCACCCATATTTGCAACTAAGTTCTGTTTTGAACTGCTTCTGTGTAGAACTGAGAAAGAGTG